AAGTTTTTTAGAACTAAAAAAGCGGCTGACTACTGCACCTATGTTGGCCTTGCCGAGCAGATCGAGTGGAGATACAGTTTACAGTGATGCCTCCTACCTAGGGTTGGGTTGTGTTTTGATGCAGCATGAGAAAGTCATAGCCTATGAGTCCAGACAGTTGAAGAATCATGAGAAAAACTACCATACCCGTGACTTAGAACTTGCTGCAATTATTCATGCCTTAAAGGCTTGGCGCCATTATTTGTATGGGGAGACATTTCAGATCTATACCGATCATAAGAGATTGAAACACATATTCACTCAAAAAGATCTCAACATGCGTAAGAGAATGTGGATAGAATTCCTCAAAAATTATGATTGTGATACCATGTATCACCCGGGTAAAGGCAATGTGGTAGTTGACACACTCAGCAGAAAAAACGCAAGTATATTAGCTTATTTGATGGTTTCAAAATACAGGCAGATAGGGACAACAACAGGTACAACTTTAGGACTTGAAGAGAGTCACATGTTTGGGCCACCTGACTGTTCAGCTGGAGTTAATCCAGAGAATAAAGGAAACTCAGTCCGCCGATTCCACCCTAGCAGCCATCAAGAAAGATGCAGAACAAGGGGTTAACTCAGAATTTCGAGTATCTGCCGATGGGTTACTCAAATTTTAAGACAGAGTGTGTGTTCTAGGTGACAATAAGTTGAAAAGGGACATCATGACAGATGCCCATAACTCAAAGTTTGCCATGCATCCCAAAAGTACTAGATGTATCAAAGTATGAGACCCCGATTTTGGTGGAACGGGATGAAAAAAGATATAACTGATTTTATTTCTAAGTGTTTGGTATGTCAGCAGGTCAAGACAGAACATCAACGCTCAGATGGGCTACTTCAGCCATTACCAATTCCGGAGTAGAAGTAAGAACATATCACAATGGATTTTGTGACAGGATTGTCTAAGGCACGCTCAGGACATGATGCTATTTAGGTAATTGTTGAGTGACTTACCAAGTCTTCCCACTTTTTGGCCATCAAGATTACTGATTCCTTGAACAAGTTGGCAAGAATGTACATACGAGAAATAGTCAGATTACATGAAATGCTAGTGACAGTAGTGTCTGACAAGGACCCCATGTTCACTTCTCGATACTGGTCTAGCTTTCAGCAAGCCATAGGAACGAAATTGTCTCTTAATACAGCATTCCATCCTCAGACAGATGAACAGTCAGAAAGGACGATCCGCACACTTGAGGATATGCTATTAGCTATTATTCTTGACTTTGCGGGCCATTAGGATGATCATCTACCCCTAATAGAGTTCGCCTACAACAACAGTTACCAAACAAGTATTTGCATAGTTCTGTATGAGGCATTATATGGCCGCCCGTGCAGATCACCGATCTGTTGGAAAGAAGTGGGTGATAGAAAACTGTTCGACTCAGACCTTGTAGAGGAGACTACAACCAAAATAGTTAAGATCAGGAAAAACATTCAGACGGGTCACAATAGACAGAAGAGTTATGCGGACACTCGGATGAGAGATTTGGAATTTGAGAAAAGCGATCGAGTGTTCCTTAAGGTCACTCTTTTCAAGGAAATCAGTAGGTATGACAAGAGGGGGAAACTAAGCCCCCAGTTTATTAGACCATTTGAGATCTTAGATAGAATTAGTATCGCCGCCTACAGACTGGCTCTGCCTCCAGAACTTTTCAGGGTCCATAATATATTTCATGTGTCCATGCTACGCAAGTACAACCCGAACCCCTCTCACGTCTTAACCCACGAGCTTCTTCACTCCAGGAGGATCTGTCCTACAAGAAAATATCAGTCAGTATTGTGGACCGAAAAGATAGATTACTTTACAACTGGAAAATTTCTTTCGTTAAGGTCATGTGGCAGAATCACACACCGAGAGAGGCCACATGAGAGCTAGAATCAGATTTCAAAACCTAATATCTCCAGCTATTTGATTGAGAGTGAGAGAGATAAATTTGAGAGACCAAATTTCTTTTTAAGAGAGAGAGAGTTGTAATGCCCAAATTAATTTAATTGTAAATTAAATTAATTATAAATATAATTTTTTTTTTATTTTTTATTTTAATTTAGTGTAAAAATGAAGGAAATGTGATGGAGAATGAAATTATAAATAATTTTGGGGAAAAGGGGTGGAAATTTGGGTTCTGGGGGTACTTTTAAAAGAAAAATCAGAAATCAGGGGGTCAAAATACAATTTAAAAAAGTTTTGCCATGTAGGATGCCCGGTCAGTAGCCCTGACGAACCAAGACACGCTGCGTGGCAACGGACGCTGACACAGTGCCACGTGGGAGGCCACAGGGGCAATCCGCGTGCCCGCAATTGAATGGCCCAGATCTGTTCCCGCGCACACGGACAACCTGGATGCGTTCCCTCCCCAAACGCGATCGGACAATCAGATTTAAACGCGATCAGACAGTTCATATTAGATTGCAATGAACGGCCAAAATTCATGCCCTATTTAATAGCGATCGGGCGGCCCAGATCAAACGCGATGGACAACCCAGATTAAATAAGCACGGATATAAATAACTCCATTCACACCAAACCCTAATCCTACCTGCCAGCCACCCTCGTCGAAGAAGAAGACCCAGCCACTGGGAAGGAGAGCCGCCGCTACCCGCTGCCGCGCCGGAGCTACTTCCGACTGCCAAAAAAGGTAAAAGTTTTCTCATTTGCTCGGAATTCAATTTTAAATACCTCTATGAACAAATCAGAGTAAAAGGACTGCCCGATTGGCCGAAAACTGCGGGCAAAGCCCGTCGGTGTCGCCGTGAAGAATTTTACAAAACACCTCTGACGAGGCCCTTCCCGATTCCCATTCGACGTAATTTTTTCACTTTTGTGATCACCGTTTCTTTTTCTACAGGTTGACCGAAGCAAAATACCCAACCGCAATGTGAGCCTGAGGAGTCGCCGCACTAGAGAGTTCTACCGTTGGTGAGTTTCGATTTTTTGTATTTTTTCGGCCAATTGAGGCCCCTTAACGTGTTTTGCATAGGGATCAATGTAAAATCGGCCAAAAACGGCTGAAAACAGCCGATCCGAGGCGGGCCGCCGCTGCGGGCGACGACGACGTTGTCCCTGGATCACGGCGGAGCCGCAGTGTCAGAATTCCAGAATTGGCCAAAATTGGACTCTAAGGCTTATTTTGGATTTTTTGGGACATTTATAGGTACTTATAGCGCATTTTAATTCTGAAAAAAAATTCAGGAAACTCGGAGATCGCCAGTAGGCGCAGTCAACAATTTAGCATTTTGAGCATCAAATGGAGTAAAAATCCCTCACCCTATCCTCTACTATAGAATTGAAGTTTAATTTTAAATAATATAATACTTCGTGAAACTTAGAAAATATCTGTAATTAATTACGGGTTACTAATAGAGCCAAAACTGGAAATTAGTCTTTCTGATTTCTGTTAATTTATTTTACAATTTAAATGCATGTTAGTATCTGATTTATCGATTTTATGGTTTGAATGCATCTATTGCTGCCTTACGTGACTATTGTTAAATTGAAAAACCGATATATGATTGCATTCCCTGATGCATGTTTGTTTGTTTATATGATTACGGTTGATTTAAATAATGGAGATTAAAGAAAAACGGAAAAATTGTGTGATTAAGTGAATGGATGAAACGATAGCCTTACTGGATATCTTAGGAGATGGTGGATGGATCGGGTACAACAGGAAACCCTATCATGAACGTTGTTTCATACCAGACGAGATATCGAGACTTGGTAATTTGGCGCTCATACTGGATGTGGTATGAGAACGACCCGTTTCACCCTCATACCAGACGGGGTATTGAGATTTAATAGTTTGGTGCTCATACCGGACGAGGTATGAGAACATCCCTTTAATTGAGAATGTTGAAAGAAAGGGTTCACATGTAGCGGAGACATCCCTGTGAATTCCCATGGATACCAGTAGGCCGATAAAAAGAAAGGTTGTTGTTTGATTTATTGAATATGAATTTATAATATGTGTCTATTACCAATTATATATAGAATCATGATAAGTGCTATGTTATTGTCTCTATAAGTTGCTTTTATAAATCTCGCTGCCGTAAGTGGATGGTAAATGGTTTTATTATTAATAAATGTATTTATTTAATTAAGTACTCCATTAGTTGTTTTGATTTTCTACCAACCTTCATTTCTATGTTGGTAAGGAGTGTGATATTTTTACTGAGATAGTGTAGCTCATTCATTATTTAACCATTTCAGATCAAGATGACTAGGAATCAGAGCCCGGTTCACAAGAAGGTTGCGAGTAGAATACTAGTTTTATTTATTTTCCGTTTATTTCTTTATTTTCTTTGTATTTCCTTCAAAAGTTTAATTCTCGTAGCACTATTTCAAATTTTAAGTTTATGTGTAAAAAATATAAACCTTAACTATTTATTTCACTTACGCACTTAAATTATAATTTATTTTTTTGGACATTCCGGGATCGTTACAATATTAAATATTTTTATCATTATTTATTGATTTAAGAATACAAATATGTAATTGTGAAATTATATATATCAACTAATTTGATTTGATAATGTATCAAATAATTTAATATCTACATATTAAATAATTATTATATAAAAACTTAATAGATATATAAAACATTTAAATCAAATACAATGTCAACTAATTAAAAGAAGAAGAAGTTAGAATATTTTTTTTTCCTAATTAATTTTTTATTGCAAATTTTTGGGTGTGTGTGTGTGGAGATAATGCAATATCTTTTTTATACTTTTTATTTGAAAGAAAATGTAATATTCTATGATATTACAAATTTTTATTTTATTTAAATTCATACTTCTATTTAGAAATTTTAGATCACCTATAAACATCATACAGCAACTTCACATTAAATGACAAGAACAATTAATTTGTCAAAATAAAATTCTATAAGCAATTCATGCATGCATTATAGTCAATTTAAACCTCAGAAGACCAAACCTTCCGTCCAAAAATCTCTCTGTCTTATCCTCATCGTTGAAAAAACTCAAGCCGGAGACATAAAACCCTAATTCTAGCTGAAAACCCTAACCATCACAAACCCAGATTCTTCAATAATTGTAGAACATTCAAGATTTGTTTATGGTTTTTGTTTTTTCTTTTGAGAAGATTATTTTCTGGGTTTAAATCTTATAAATGAAAACCCACTAATATGAAAAAGATGCTCAACTATATACATATACATATACATATTTATATATATAAGAAGCAAGCATTTAGCCCACTATAACTATCCACATAAACGCAGCAATAAATGCAATTCTCTGTTTCCAAACACAGTATTAAATGCAGCCACTGGAATACCCACCCACCATCTTGCCAAAAAATCTGCCCTAATCCCCTCCCTCTCTCTCTTCCCATCCTCAAATGGATTCCTTCATCACTCCCAACAGATGTCCTCCTCCACTCCACCCCCTAACTATCTCACCAACTTAGGTCTCGGCTACTCCATCGCCATTGCTCTCGGCTTCCTTGTCCTCCTTTCCACTCTCCTTCTCGCTTCATACATCTGCTGTAGAGCCTCCCGCCATCGTTCTCTTTCTCCTAATCCAACCACGTCCCCCGTCAATCCTTCCACCACAGCCGATGGCGGCATCATCCTTCCTCGTATTATCTTTGTTGCAGAAGACGACGATGCCGCCGGAGATGACACCGTCGTCGTGGGCCTTGACCAATCTGTTATCAACTCATATCCCAAGTTTCAGTTCTCCAAAGAAGGTTCTTCTGGTGGCGGTGGTGGTGGCGGTGGAGGTGGAATTGACACGACGTGTTCAATCTGTCTGTGCGAGTACAAAGACATGGAGATGCTGAGAATGATGCCGGAATGCAGACACTACTTTCATGTCTGTTGCATCGATGCGTGGCTCAAGCTTAATGGGTCGTGTCCAGTTTGCCGGAACTCGCCACTGCCGACGCCGCTCTCTACGCCGTTGTCGGAGGTCGTGCCTCTATCGCAGTACGCTGCGGATCGGCGGAGGTCTAGGAGGTGATCTTAATGTTTTGGTGGGTGATTTGGGAATTTTCTTTTCTCATTATTTTCGGGTTTTTTCTGGGGGGGGGGGGGGAGGTGGAGGTTTGATTTTGTTATTGTTATTATTTTTTATTGGTCTGGTGTTTCTTGGTATAAATTGATCAGGTGTTGTCAGTGCTGGGGTCTGTTGGAAGAAAGAAA